GATTGTCAGGCCCCATGCCGGGCGCTCTCGGGTCTTTCTGTGGTCCATGCAGCAAGGATCGACAAATTGCATTAGCTTAGAAGCTTCAATGCATAGACCAGTGGGTGCAGATTGTCGGCCGCACGCCATGCTCTTTCTGGCTAGCTTGCTTTCCTCCTGCTGACATGAATGTCTGTTTCACTAAGGCACAGAGCTGTTTCCCTGCAGGCCACATTCGGCACATCTTGCAATGATGCTCTCCCAACCCCAGCTGTCAAAGTGCTCGTGGCGAGCGCGTCCAGAGGCTTTCTCACCGGTTCAAAGAGAGGCCACTGCATCTTTCGGAAGGTGGCGGGTACGCTGTGCCAGCGCGCTCGAGAGGAACTCGGGTCCGCAGGCCTTCTCTGGTCGAAGGCTGCCTGGAATGGGAGCATCCATGCAGCGATGGCGGGGCTCAAGGTGCACGCGGGCACTGCAGACGAGGGCCTGCAACAGGGCTTTGAAAAGGTCTTGACTTGTATCAAGCAGGCCCACCTCAGGGAGGGGCTGCGGCGACCAGCGAGCCCCTCCCCTGGAGCTCACAGGACTGCTGCGAGCCCAGCGCCCGCGCCCGCGAGCCCAGCTGCCACGAATGAGGCCTGGCAGCCAGCTGGTGGCGCATCCAGGAGAGCGAGGAGAGCGAGGGAGGAACCGGCCAGCTACCTCTTTGGGGACAAAGGTGAGAACAGCACCTTGATCGAGCCAACTTGGTCGAAGCACAGGTTGATCGGGCCTTTGCGGGAGCCAGGTTTAGGCCTTGGGGCCACTCGTGCTTTAGGGTCCCCAAATTTGCAACTGTAACTTGTGTGTCTCGTATCCTGGGGCCAGGGAGACGAGAATGCGAGCCTCTACGCCCACATGAGTCAGCCATGGATGCACGCGTTTTCCAACCCTGATCTTGAATTCTTTGTGCTTTTCCTTCCAGTTCCACACAGTGAGGGTTCCTAAGCCTCTAGTGCCTTGGAAGATTTGTGCCTTTTGCTTTTCAATGACCCTTGATTCGGTCGAGCTTAAATCTTGCTGCCAGCGCAACTACGGGCAGTCTGCCAGGCTCTCTCCCTGTGCTGCATCCCGTTGACCTTGAGAAAGCTCGTTAAGCTTGAAACCTTTTGAGCTTGGTGTCGAATCTGCTGCGAGTTTTCCCTGTGTCATGCGCAACTCAAAATCACCTTCTCTCTTCTCCATAGGTTGCAACGACTGGCAGCAAAACCAATACTGGTGGGATCCAACTCCCAGGAGCAGAGACCTAATTGGTAAGTCATTCATCGGACGAATAACAGCTGATCCGAGTCTGATCCATGAACAAGAGGTCAAGCCTTGGCACAAAGTCTAGCGGGTGCCAGGTCATTCAGTCAAGAGAGCCCAGGTCAGGTCCTTAAATCTGCTCAACTTGGTAGCAGGACACTCAATTGGAGACAGATGCAGCTTGTTGAATTGGAGAAACTCCCGGTGAAAGCAGCCTGCTGAGTCTTGCTTAGCCGCTCTCCTTTGATGGTCGTCTGAGCGGACTAGGGTCTCCAAAGGCTCATGGAGCCCGGACGTCAAAGTTGATATGTCCATTGACCCTTTGCAGAAAAGCTCTTGATTATCGGTGGGGTCGAGAGCAATCCGGGACCCTCATCGATAGAAGGGGACCGTCCCCTAGCATCAGGAGGAGACACGCCAGTGGACGACGTCGGCGCGGCCAGAGTAGTCGCTCTGCCGCCTCTTCACAATGTGAGCAAGCACCCGTCCGGGAGGTTTTCAGAGTGATTGTTGTTGTTCGATTAAGCCTCTGACAATCTGCATTGGCTTGAAGAAGCGACTGCATAGAAGCCAAGGTGCAGATTGACGGCAGCGGTTGGTAGTGTTGTTGGTTCAGGCCACTAACAATCTGCACTGGCTTGAAGGAGCGACAGTAAAGAAGCCAAGGTGCAATTTGACGGCAGCGGTCGGGCAGTATTCTTGGTTGGATCAGGTCCAGACAATCTGCACTGGCCTGAAGAAGCGATTGTATAGAACCCGAGGTGCAAATTGTCAACCATGTATCTGACTCTCCACTCCTCTAGATCAGGCAGCGCACAAGTGATTGCCCGCCTGCCCACATAAACCGATTCCCAACAACACTGTGTGCCGTTTTAGAAACGTCAAACGCCTCAGCTGGGTTTGAAAGTTCTACAAACTGTATGTGCATTTCCATTTCGCAGGCAAGAGACGGCCCTGAGGATTGGCAACACGCCAGCGCGGACCAACTGCAGCGTTCGGGATCCGGTGTCGGCACAAAGAGGCCGCCGAAGCATGTAAGAGCCCCCACAAGTTCGACGTACTTCTCTCCAAATTGGAGAGCTTTAGAAGCTGCGTTTCACGACCATGCTGCCAGATTCCGGTCGTTGCTTAGATAAAATGGTCAGCGCGTGACTGCTTTCATGAGTCAGCCGGCTTACTGGAGTGGCACGGTGTGTAGGTGCCATCAGGAGCAGAACCGTTGAGGAGGAGAAAGAGGGGGAGACTCGTCAAGCTCTCCGAACTTGCCAGCAGAGCCCCTCCAGACCTTGCTGCTGGCAACGTGATCGAACTGGCTACTAGCGCTCTCACACAGTGAGCACCTGCGCCAAGATTCTTGTGACACGCATTGCCTTTAACAGTCGTGCATCAGGCTTTGTTGATTGTCTTGACGGAAGTTGTGCGCACGTCACAGTAGAACTGCTACAATGATTACGTGCGCAATAAGTCATAAGCATGTGTAACGAGCCCTCTAATCCTCCCCTCCCTCTTCTGGATATCAGGGACGCCAGAGAGCTTGAGGAGGAGCTTGAGGAGGACCTTAGTGACAGCGACCGCAATGGGCGCAGGTCCAAGGAGCGAGCGGTTGCTGACTTCTTTGCAGAGAGCAGACAGCGGCGAGAGGCTTGGGTGGCCAGAGAGGAGACGATGTACGGCCCTCCCTCCTCGTCAGAGCAACACGCTCCTGAGGAGCTGGGGGGGCTAGAAACGTGAGACCCTGCTAAGTGTCGCCTTACTCCACTGCCTCTTCCGAAGGCGATGCACTTTATGAAGGCTTTCAGCATGATGAAGAAGTGGGTCCCGATCTCGACCCGAGTCAGATGCTTTGCTTTGAGATTTTGAATCCGGCCCCAGTCCCAAAAGTAGACTTGGTCTCAAAGTGTGCATATTTGGCTCTGCGTGTGCTTTCAGAATCATAGAGTGGGTCGTCAGAGACTGACTGCTTCTTACTGCTGCAGCAATGGTGCCGAGGCCGGCGAGCAGGAGCCGCTTGGAAGGCATAGTTCAGCACCTACAGCGCCCGACCTGGTGAGCCCAGCGCAGCCTCTCAATGAGTACGGATCTCTTTGAACCTCGTCTCTTTAGTTCACTGGAAAGCAGGATGTGTTTGGATCTTTGACTTGCAGGCTTGTACGCGCAAGATGGGGCCTGCCACGATCGTGGCGCGCTTAGTTCAAAGCGGACTTCTGACAGGGTACTCTACTGCTCAGCAATGCTTCAATGCTTGAATGTCTGTGGGGTTGTTGTTGCATCCACTTTTCTTACGGCGGCCAGCCGGAGTGGGCAGCGAACTGGCTTCGCTTTTCGGGAGCCCAGCCTACCGCGCACATACATCCTGTGATCCTGACCGCCGCAGTTGCCAAATGCTTGCTCAAAGCTCACCCATTCGCAACCCGTTGGCCGTTCAGGTACGCAGCCAGGACAGCGAAGCAAGGCCATCAACGCCAGTGGCTCCAAAGACTGGTCGGCCGACGTCAAAAAAGCGACAGTAAGCTCGTTGGCCAGTACTTATCGCGTATCTTTGCATCCCCAACACAAAGGCGACTCTGGTGTGTTGTATGCCGTCAATTGCTTCCTTGGGTACTGCCAACAAGAAGAGCAACCTTGTGGGTTCCACTTTATCTGCAGAGCTTTCCTGGATCGCTGCTACAGCATACCGTTGCTGAGTCCTTGGGTACTGCCAACAGTGGTCTGCATGATTGTCGTTCCTGATCCGCTCTCTTGCGCATCTACAGCAAACGGGCAAAGCCGAACCCTGTCCGAGTGGACGAGTTGGCTCGAGCGGCCGGTCGAGCGGCTGTTGAAGCTCATCACCAAACACTTGGGGCCCTAAGGGCCCCCAGACTGCAGCGCGAGGGGCAAGCCATACATCAAACGGAGCTGGGCGATTTTGGAGGCCCGGCTCATGCACCCCCCGTCGTAAGTTGCCGCAGAGATTACACTCTCCCTAAAGCCGTCCGGTAGAGTTCTGCGTGCATCTGTGGTTGCGGTTCCTGACGTCGTTTAAAAAGCTGAGGCGCGTGCACTTCCACCAGACCTACCTAGATTGTCTCTAGGGGTGTGCAGTTCTGCTCTGGGCTTGGTTTGGGTTGCTTTCGGATCCGTGGTCAAGCTGGTCAGAGGGCGCAGGCAGGCTGTTTTGGGGGCGTGGTAGGTTGGGTTTGAGAATGCTGCGGGCCTGTTTCTAAGGCTGGTTCGGGGCCAAAAACAAGCTAGTCTAGGGAGCGCAGTCAGGCTGGTGTTTGCGCCGCGCTTAGGCTGGTTTTGGGTCTACTCTGGTCCCGGTTTTGGGCTGGTTTTGGGGCTGGGTTGGGCCTGCGGTCAAATGATCTTAAGGGTGCGGTCAGGCTTGTCTTGTGCCGTGGTCACATGGCTAATTCGGGGTTTGCTAATTTGCTCTGGGCCTGGTTTTGGGGCCGTGCTCAAGTTTATTCGGAAGCGTGGTCAGGCTTGCCTTGTGCCATGGTTAGGTTTGGCAGGCAGCCAAGTGTACTGCGCGCTTTGTCCTAGAGTTTCCAAGTGCTGTTAGACATGTCTGTGGCCTTGCTTGTAATAGGGGGGGCGTTGTATGGTTGCAAACATGATCCTGCGTATTTGATCCGGCTTCCTTTCGCAGATGAATCAAAACCCCTGTTCATTGTTTCTTTGACGCAGGCACTTGTGACCGACGCTCCCATCTCAAACGTTGGAGCCTTGGCAGAGCGCCTCCAAGCCAAGCGGGACGCCGAGGAAGCGACCGCACGCGGGGGGCGCCTGAAACGCTACGGGCGTGTGCGTCCTCTTGGCGTGCCAACCTCGGCGGATGACCCCCCGGCCCGCACCATCCAGGACCCGGGCGCTCTCGCCGCTGCCCCTCCCTCGCCCCGTGTCGCCCCCCCTCCTCAAGATGGCTTCAGCCTTGCCCTGAGCGCTGAGCAGCCCCCACCAGCAGCCCCCTCCGAGCCCCCTTTTGCAGAAGAGGAGCAGGCGCCGATGGCGCCGCTTCCAAGCAATCAGCCCCTCGCAGCCGACGATGCACCCGCCACCCAGCAGCCAACCCCTCCCTTCTTCTCGCATCCTCGTGAACCCCCCTCCTCGGCCGGGCACCCTGCCCAAGATCCACCCTCTCGCTTCCTCGCTGAGGAGCTTGCTGCTGCTCAGCAAGTCAAGCGCCCTAAGCCCCCGGTCACAGCCCCGCCCCCCATCCAAAGCGCACAGCCCGAGGTGGTCCCCGGTCAGCCCCCAACAGTCGGCCCCTTCCCTTCCCCTATCCACCAGGAGCAGGCGCCCGTCGACCAGGCGCTTTCGCCCGACCTGCCAAACCAGCCCCCGGCAGTGGACACAAGTCAGCCCACTGGAACTGAGCCGTCAGCTGAGCCGTCAACTGCAATTCCGCCCTTGGAGCCACCCGCTCAGCTGCTTGGGGAGCCCCCGCAGGCTGCGTCGGTCGGAGATGGTGGGCCCAGCTGGTGCAAGAAGCTAGAGGAGGCGCTGCAGCAAAGGCGGGCAAACGGGCGTGCAATCATGGTAGCGGAGGATGTGCACCAGGGGGGGGCAAAGCGCTACGGCAGCTTCGAGAATGTCGCGGCCTTGGTGGCGCACCGAAGGTCGCTTGGGCCGTTTGCGCATCTGTACGAGCTCATCCAGGACGATGCTTGCTGGCGCGTCTACTTCGACCTGGACTTTTCGCTCCCCACCGAGGATTCAAGCGACTTTGAACGGCGCCTGGGGGCTTTCCACCTGGTCAGGGACCGTTTCTTAACCTCGGTGCTGAACATCCCCGAGGGCGCGCTCCATTTCCAAGCTTGCAAGGCGCACGGTCCGGCGCGCCCCCCGAAGCAAGAGTTCAAGTACAGTGTGCACGAGGTGCTGGAGGGGTTTTACCTGAGGGGCCTGGAAGCCAGGAGGGCGTTCGGGAAGGCCTTTGGGTGCTTCTTGGAGAGCCCCCCGGACGACCTGAAGGCGAGCATCGAGCTCTTGCGGAAGGAGAATGGATCCGCCTACATGTGGGACGGGTCCGTCTATGGGCGCTACCGCTGCTTCCGAATCTTGAGGTCCTCCAAGTTCGGGGACCGTCTTCGCTCCCTCGTCCCCTGCGATGGCAGCTCTGAGGCGATCGCTGACCACCTGGTCTGCCTTTACTCGGAAGCAGAGCTGGCCGACTCCACCGAGATTAGCGCCGACCTTCTTGGGCAGTGGGCAACCGCGCAGCGCGGCCCCCCTGCCCCCGCTCGTGTGGGGGCCTTCCGGCAGAGGGCGCTAGCCCTCGACGAGGCGAGCACCTCGGAGGGGCTCGGCGAGGATCTCACCGAGCAGGAGCGGGCCATCCTCATCGCCCGCTACCAGGAGGATCACGCAGGGGCCCAGATCGACCGGGTGGTGCAGGAGCGGCCGGGGGTGTTCTTCATCCACTTTTGCACGCCGGAGCCCACGTGCTGCATTGCGGGGAGGCGCCACACGTCCCCAGGCAACCAAAACCCGTACCTGATATACAAGCGGGACGAGCCACGCATTGCGCGCTACCAGTGCTTTGCAAACAGCTGCAGGTAAGGCGCCCCAGTAGTGAGCTGAGATCTGATTGCCCGGCACGGCTCAGCAGTCAATCTGACTGGTCGCTCTTTACATTCAAGCCTAAAAGGTGGTGTAGATCGTTCAGCTCTTTCAAGGTTCCAGGAGTTCTTGTTCGAGATGGTCAAGAAGGAGTACAAGGTCGACCCCAGTCGGGTTGATCACGACTTCTACACCCGCTTTTGCGCTGACGAGGACGATGCAAAGAGGACAAGAGAGGCCCACGCGAACTATCTCAGGTCAGCGCCTCATTTCAGTCGTGCTCGTCTCTTGAGCAAAAATTGATGCCCTCCTGCTGCCTTCGACTTCCACCTGAAGTGAACGATCGGTGAACTTCAAGTCTGCAGCATGTGCCCAGAGCCAAAGGTTCCGCTCAATTTTGTTTCCTTCTTCGGCTGCAAATCGTACGTCCAAAGTCTCATATTGCTGCCCCTCTGACGCTTGTCGTGACCTGCAGGTTTCGGGAGCACCGCTTCGACGCCCTCGCCGCGGACCTGAACAGAGCACTTGGGCAGGCCAACGAGGAGGGCGTGATTTAGGAGTACGTCCAGGAAATGCGCGACCCTGTCAATCGTGTGCCGTTTGCGGTGCGCGTCCTCGCCTTCCTCGTGGGTTGCGAGGAGGGGGAGCTGAATCATAAGGCGGAGCGGTGGGAGGTCTCGGACGAGCGCGTGCAGGCTGCCTATGCGGAGCACATCGGGCCCAACCAGACCCGTTTGAAGACCATCTTTAACCTGTACGGCTTTGTGCAGCAGACCACCAGGCCGTCGAAGGCTGCCGAAGGGAAAGTGAGAGAAAAGAGGGCTCAGAAGCGGAATGCAGTGGGCAACGTGCTCAGGGCGGGCCTTGGGATTGAGCTACGTATGGGCTCAAGGAGCGCCGGCAAATTCAAGAATCCCCACGTGTTGACGCCCGCCATTTGGTTGGGCCTGCATGAGCGGTACGGTTGGTTTACTCCGGAGACGGGACTAGTCCTGAGTGCATGATCGTGCCGAGGGGTAGTGGTTCATAGACGTTGTGGTGCAGGTCAGGAGTTGATCAAGGTGCAATGCCTTTGAGCGTGCATAGCGTCTTAGAAGGCCATGTTTATCATTGGTCTTTGTGGTTTGCTGCAGTGATCAGACAGACATATTGTTCGAATAACATTAAGAGCGGTTGCAACGAGACCGGTCGCTCAGCCTATGCTCACTTGATACCGCCTAAAAGCACGCCGTGCTCTGCTCGTGAGATGCATCATGTTAGAAAGTATGAGCTAAGCTGTCAATATGCACGGTTGTAAAGGCTTCTTTGTATAGCATGGTGGTGCAAATTGACAAGCCCATGCTGGTCACTTATTCAAACGATGTTGTAAGAGATAGAGCGAGGTCGTCAATCTGCACCATTTGTGAGGCCTTTCTTGTTAAGCATCAGGGTGCAGATTGACGGCCCCATGCCGAACACTTTCTTGAGCAACGTTGTAGTTCATAGTACAAAGCTCGTCAATCTGCACCGTTTCAAAAGCTTATCTGTATAGCACGCGGTGCAAATTGACGACCCCACAGTGCCGGACACTTTCTTGAGCAACGTTGTAGTTCATGGTACAGAAGCTCGTCAATCTGCACTATTTCAAAAGCTTCTTTGTATGGCACGCGGTGCAAATTGTCAGCCCCCATGCCGGACACTTTCTTCAGCAACGTTGTAGTTCATGGTACAGAAGCTCGTCAATCTGCACCGTTTCCAGAGCTTCTTTGTATAGCACGCGGTGCAAATTGTCAGCCCCCATGCCGCACACTTTCTTGAGCAACGTTGTAGTTCACTGTGGTACAAAGCTCGTCAATCTGCACTGATTCAAGAGCTTCTTTGTATAGCACGCGGTGCAAATTGTCAGCCCCCATGCCGCACACTTTCTCCAGCAACGTTGTAGTTCATGGTACAGAAGCTCGTCAATCTGCACTGTTTCAAGAGCTTCTTTGTATAGCACGCGGTGCAAATTGACGGCCCCCTTGCCAGACACTTTCTTCAGCAACGTTGTAGTTCATGGTACAGAAGCTCGTCAATCTGCACGATCAAGTTCGTTTGTCAAGCTCGCGGGTGTATACTTAGGGTGAGAGTTTGGTGGCGGATATACCAACAATGGAGCAACTTCCGGATGGACGCATGTTATGTCGAGCCGTCGGGGTCAGCTGTGAAGGCCGTCCACAACGCGTTCGCAAGCTTCGACCCGGCCAAGAGCTAATGCTTTGCAAGCATTCTGGGAACGGGTATGACACCTACGCCATTGGGATCTTCGACTCGGTGGATCGTGAGAATCCTTCAGGGTTTGTTGGGCGCGACATCAAAGATCATAAAGTTTATGATCCAGACCGCAAAGGGATAGAGATGCCCGCACGGGTTTACCGCATCAATTGGGGCAGGGGCTACCATGGGCCGTGGGGCTTTGTGGTGGAGATCAATGATCTTCGAATAGATTATGGGACGAGCTCTGGTGCATGCTCGGATACCGCTTCTGATGATACAGTTTGCCAAATTCTGCTCAAAGCGTCAAACCTAATCGACACTCATATATCGCGATGCGGCGCTGCTGTGCATGAGACTATCAAAGACGAAATCATTTCAACCTTGCCCAAATCTGGGGTGGACGTAGACGTACTTGGAAAAATGATTGCTCGTGTGCAATGGTATCTTTGTGATTTTTTTGTGTGTACGGTACATCAACCGTTTGAATGGACGCAATTCTTGGCTATCGTCCTCAATCGCCCTTTGCAATCATTGAGATGGACAAGTCCGTTCTTGAGAGTGCTCGATTAGCTATCATACGATCTTATCAAGAATTTGGCTTGCTCGAGACCACCTTGGATGCCGCAGCTCTGGGTGGCATTCGAGCGCTGGCTGACCCCTTTGACCTTCGTCATATAACCAGACAGCTCGTGCGGTCGCTAGTTGCTGACGGGTTCAGCGCCTTTTGGGACAAATCCGGTTTGCATGGCCCATATGCAATAAAGGTAAGCTGGCGAGTCGCCCTAAAACACGCCTCTCAAGCACGACGTCGGGCACGAAAGTTGCAAATCTCTACGACCCATGCAGACGTGCATAAAAAAGGAGTGTTATCTCCCACAAATTGCATGGAACCAAGAGCGGTCTTCCCGTCATCTGCCTGTCGTGCTCCGAGCGTTGTGTGGGACAACAATGAGCCGCTTTTGGGCCTTGAGATGCTTGCGAATCCGGAGAAGGCTCGAGTGGCTCACGAAGTCTCTGAAATCATGTCGCCCAGATAATATGAATCGGCCAAAAGTCCCCATCTTTGAATTTTGTATGCCGCCAGTCACATTATCTGAGTTAGTAACTTTTCGATCGAAAATATACGGCCCGTCTGGCTATGAAGCCGGCTTATACAAGCTTTTGTAACCAGAAAATCGACAAAAGCGACTCTACATGTTAAATTCGTTTGACACATTTTAGAACGTGAATAATCACGTTTTCTGAGAAGACGAGCGTTCAGCTTGTCGAAAAAATTTCCATCATTATCCCAGCAAACTTGAAGATGGAAGAGTCTAGCGTAAGCACAAAATGCGTAACCACCGTAACCAACGGTGAACATCTGCTACGCCAAGTATTCGACGATGGCGATCGAAATCAAAACACAATTGCGCAATATGTGAAGCACGTCATGCGCTTGTTTCAGGGTTTGCACAAACAGAGCAACTTTAACAATTTGGAATGGATCAAGGATTCCGACACAATCATCAAATACTTTCAGGAGACGTACCCCGTAAAGCTAAGTATGCAGGCAACCAGCATTAATCCGCTTCTGGTCGTGTGCAGAAAAGCATTCTCAAATGACAAACGACTCTACGATGCGTACTACCAACGATTCACGGCGGTCCGCAAACTCATGGACGAAACCCGGCCCCCGCCCCAACAGCTCACCGAGCGTGAGGCGGCCAACTGGAAGAATTTGGATCAGATCAATGAGCGCCGGGTAGAGCTCCAGCAAATACGTGAATCGCAAGATTTTGCATAAAATGCCAGAGGAGTTGTCAATCGAAGATAGGATCATCCTAATCCGCCACCTCATTTTATGCCTCTTCACGTATCAACCAGCCGTACGTAATGATTATTCAGAGTGCCCGATTGTCCGATTTGAGGACATCGGGACCGCTGAGGCGCGCAAGCTCATATCATCATCTGAGAACTACATGGTAGAATTCGAGAAGGACCAATTTCGTCTCGTTCTAAAGGACTTCAAGACAGTCAAACACCATGGCGTGACAAGCATTGATATGTCCACGCGGTCCAACAATGTGATTGCTGAAAGTCTTCAGGTCTTTCCACGCAAACATCTTTTGTCCCGCATGAGATCACCTGATCAGCCAATGAGTCGAAACTACATGACAAAATTCCGCTCGACCGGACTTTTCAAGGACGCAGCCGTTGGAAGTTGCCTTTTACGGAAGATTTGTGTCTCGAACGCAATGAAAGACGCCCCCAGCTTGCGAGAGAGGGAGGAGTTGGCACGGCAAATGCTCCACACGGCATCTATTGCTCAAAAAATCTACGAGAAAAAGTACAACCCGGACGGTTCAAAAATTTAATTTTGACATAGTCATAATTGGCTTTCGGAGCTGTTTGGCTGTCCTGGCGGATGCTTTCTAGGAGACTTCTATGCTTGTGAAGGCGCCTAAAGAAAGACTTGGTACTTTGGCATCATTTAAAGAGGCCGTTTGAGGCACGTCATAACCCGCGTTGGCCAAACGGATCAACGTTTGTTTCTGTAGTCTCTTTGTTTGACCCCTCAAATATCTTTTGTACGCTTGGCGTAGCAATATGGATTCTTGGTGTTTGTGGTAGTATGCTCGCATGTTTTCGGCGTGCTTCCTCGGATGCAGCTTTGCATATTGCCTATGAGTGCAGCAAGCGCGACACTGGCATGAACTCATGGACAGAGTATTGTTCGAATTATTTTGAGAGCCGTCATTGCTTTGATGGTCCATATTGAGAGCCCTGATGTTGCATGAGATTATATTTGACTCCATCCCGTGACCGCGGTCCAAATTTCAAGCACGTTCATACAGGCCCCTTTTTTCTCTAGTGAAGCAATAGAAGATGTCTGATAGTAAGCAAGCCAGCGCTCTTGGGCCTCAGGCCATCAGAGATTCCAAGGCCATGGGGCCTCTAGCTATTAGACACGAGATCGAAAGGCTAGCCGCCGCTGGCCTCTATGCAATCCCTGTACGACTCTATTGGGATGGACAGAGGAAGCAAGCTCAGCATCCAAAATGGAATCGTATGAAGAACCCCGACTCATGGCGCAAATCCATTGAACTTTGAGACCATCAAGGTTGATGGCAAAGTCTATGCTGTTGATGGACGTGGACTCGGGGGCCTGGTGTACGCCCCCCCGGCAAGCTACATTAATGGCGAAGGCAAAGTCGCAAAGTACCAGTGGTTGAACGGCCCCCCAAGCTTTGATGCGTGCAAGGAGATGGATCCTTGGCTGGTCGAGCTCGTAAACAATCGCAACGGTCAACGCCGCCGCAACGACGAGCAAAGACGAAGGTGTGCCACGGATCGAACCATCGGCAGCGTTCATCGAATCATCCGAAGGATTGGAGAGTATTGAAGTCGAGCCCGAGAGTCGGCGGCCGGCCACGAGCTCTGAGTCGCCACACGGCAAAGAGCTCTTGCGGGCGGAACTTGCAAAGATGCTGAGGGAGGCCGGCGACTTGACCAGCACGTACGCGGGTACTTTGCCGCACGGTTTGTACGTGACGTACTATTGCTATCGGACACACGGGCCTCGAAGGTGCCTCTTTGGCCACATGCACTCGGGAAGCAACAATTTCAACCTGCTCAAGAGAGGCCGAAACGTCTACTATCGCTGTCACGGTGTCGACTGCTCCCACAAGCCGGCCAAAAAGCTCGGGGTTCTGGACGACCTCAAGGCCGCTCTGCAAGATGCAACCACTGAGCCCGTGGACCCCCATGACGACATGCAAGTGATAACTCAGTACACGAGAGGGACTCAAGAGGTCCAAGACCTGCTGCTTAAGATCGTTGTTGAGCATGCGGCTCCGAAGGCGTACGCCAACCTAGGACGCCTCTTTGCGTACATGTATATGATCGAGGGCCGCATTCTGGCGACCACCAACGAATGCAGAAAAGAGCCGCGAATCGCACTTTTTTGTCTGGAACGGTTCTTCGTGGATCCAAGACACCTGCAATATGGTTACGAGCGTCTTCACAAGTCAGATGGGCTGTTTGCTGGCATGGTACGAATGGCAGCGAGAGAGATTTTTGGGCACTCTGTACTCGAAGCACCGGGACTTGGAGGGCTACGTGGTGGATGGCAATCTCAAGCATCTCGACATCGAAGAGGTCAACTCCAAGGTGCTGAAGGAAATCAAGATGGCCACAGAAGCGTGCATGAAGGAACTAGATGAGAGCATGCCCAGCTTCGGCAAGATCAACGTGCAGGATATTGTCGACGTGCGCAAGTGCATGCACTCTGTTGTCAACGATTTGCACGTGCCGGGGTTGCTCGACATATTTGATCAGGATCACGCGGTCGCAAATGCGCCCAATGGTTTGATCGATCTTCAGACGGGGGCGCTTTTGCCGCATCATCCTCAAAACCTCTGCAATAATCAGACGAGCGTATACGTTTCCGGCGCTTCACTGCGGCCCACGTCCAGATTCAGAACGTTTCTGATGGAAATCCTCCCATCGGAGGCAATCGACTGGCTCCAGATGTTTCTGGGATATTGCCTCACCGGTGAGACATCGGAGGAGCTTCTCGTCATAGCAAACGGCTTTTCGGGCGCGAATGGGAAGTCCGCGTTAAAGCAAGCGCTTGAGAGAGCATTTGGGAGCTATATTTGTGCCGAGAACAAGGCCATATTCATCAAGCCAACGTTCAAAGCAAATGCAACCGCGGCTTCGACCCACCTCATGCAGATTCGTACCAAGAGATTTGTCACCAATGACGAATCCGACGGGGTTGAGGAGCTCAATGGACCGTTTTTAAAGGAGGCAAGTGGAGGCGGCAAACTCAATGCTCGAGAGCTCTTTTGCAAACCGCAAAGCTACGTTCCCCAATATAAGCTCTGTCTCTTCACCAACTTCAGGCCCCATTTTCCAAGCGACGATGCCGCATTGATCCGACGGATCGTGCTCATCATGTTCAACTACACATTCAAGAACCCCAACGAGCTGGACGCAACCAACAAATGGCACAAGCCCATCGACTTGAGTGTGAAGCCTTACTTTGAGTCAGACGAGGGAGCCGCAGACACTCTGGATTTTTGCGTTCGAGGTGCGATGATGTACTATGAAAAAAAAGCACTCGCACCTGCTGCAAAAGTTCTATCTCCAATCCCCGCAATATTCAAGGCAGCTGCAGATGAGTACGCTGAGGAGAATGACAGGCTTCAAGCTTTCATAGACGAGGCTTGCTTTACACAAGACCCCACTGCGAAGATCGCCAAATCCGATTTCGTTGAAGCCTTTAAGGATTTCTTGTATGCTGGTGGGCACGACGTGGGTTTGGCGGGTGATGGATTGGCGAGGGCAATGCGCTTAAAGGGATACTTGCAACAACCGCCTAATGGTGGGAAAGCCCTCATGGTCAGAACGAATGATGGTAGATCAAGAGGCAGAGGTTTTTTTGGCATTCGCCTGAAGACCGATGATGAACTTCAGGCCGAAGAGCACTGAAGTTGAGCAATTGGTAACTGATACAGATGATACATAAATGTGGTCGTTTAAGACGGATGTGTATCAACATCAAAAATCGGACTCCCTTTCCATACCGTGCCTTTTGACGGCAAATTTGGACTCTGTTGTGCGTCGCATTATGTCATGCTGAAGGCTCAAAAAAGCAGATTCTTTGCCTCGCCTCGCGAGGTGTGCTTTTTTGAGGCTGATACATGTGATACAAGATACATATATAAAGATTACTATAGTAAGTTTGAAAAACAACAACAATTGCTTAGTATATACGGCGCCGCATATAGCAATTTCGCGTATCATCTGTATCTCTTGTATCAGGCAAAAAATGCTTCATTGCGACATGATCCGCGTACAAAAGTGAAAATCACTTCTTTTTTGCAGCAAAAAAATCCATTGCGGGTTGTTCGTTTACGTCAAACAAAGATACATCTTTATCCTTTTGACGCATGATACGGTACTAAAATGCGCATCAGTGTTTGTATCACAGTTGAGACGATCCAAAAGTACAGTGAATTAGTAATTCTACCCTAGCAATAGTCTCCTTACAATGCTTGCCGTCTGTACGGTCATGGAGTAGGATTGAGAAGGCCCGAAAAAGGCAAGAAAGACGAAATCGGTGCATTGCTTTTTAGAATATGAACCCCCTTCAATGCATCCATCACCACATGACAAATGTAAATACCAAAATGGAACCTGAGGCGGTGGGTAATGAGTAATAGGGTAATACAGAAGAATCTCAACGCCGCCCCCTCTTGATCGACTCCCTCAACGGATTGCTAGTATTGCTCCAATACACTGCGTACTTTGACCGCTCAAACAACGTGTCGAGGATCGTTGTAACCCTACTCAACAGCCGCTTGATGCTCGTGATCTGCTGGAGGCTGGCCGCACATCTCAGGCTTTAACCCCGAATTGATGCCCTCTGAAGCCGTCGTAATCGTGTGGCCGTGTTGCGAGAAGGAGTCGATGAACAGCGTCGGCGCACAAGTGTGCGTGGCATAGCGCTTTGCCCCCGTTGGTGCGCAGCTCACGGGCCCCGAGTGAAAGCGATCCACCACAAAAAGCATGAACTTGGCCAGCTGGGGCACTCGATTGAGAAACCACTCCTGTGCGTTGCAAGCGGCATCCTCTACGATTGTGAGCCCCCGCAGCGTCTTAAATGCCAGTGGGAACCGCGTGAGTAGCACGGTGCCAAGATCGGAGACGGATTCGCCCCCCTTAAGCCAGTGGTACCCAAGGGGCGCCCGATCCTGGCAGGACGCGATAAACATCCCGGCGCGCCCCTTGGAGGATCGAGGATTTGGGGCGCTACAATGTTGGGTGAGCCGCTCCTCCGAACCCCTCTTCCCCCGACCGGCTTCGTCTTCCCCATCGACAAACCGAGGCCGGCCGTACAGCAGGGGGTGAAAAGAGTAGGTCGAGACGGCGCCGACCCGCTCCTCATAAGCGGCCGATGGCGCTCGAAGGAAGCCACCTTCCTTGTAGCACGAGGGCTCGCGGACCTCGAGCTCGAACAGAAGCGAGTTGGCAGCCCCCTTCAATGCCGCCCCACGTTGCTCGGCATACTCCATGGCCGCCCCCTCTAGCCGACCCGCAAGCCTCAGCTTCTCGCCTTCGATTGCCCAGAGGTGCTCGGTTGCATCATGGAGTGCGGCCAGTGGCGATCGCAAGGCTGGACCCGGCCGGTTTGCGCTGGGCTCGAAGCAGAGGAGGTTCGTGGCATAGATGTCACGCACGAGTGGCCGCAGCGTTGCTGAAAATGCGTACTGTCCGCCGGCAACTGGATGGAGGCGCAGGACGGCCGCTAGCATGGGGCCGTCGTTGGAGAGGTACGCCAACCCGCGCTCGTCGAGCGGCCCCTCCAGCAACACGTGTCTCAGCAGCTTCAAGGTGACCACGTGCCCGAACACCCACGAGTAGCGAGGGATGAGCAGGGCGTGGAGGAGGGCTCCGTACGGCTGGAAGTGAGTCAGGCACCAGCCGGTCGATCCCACGGGCCCGTCTTTGAGGAACCCTGCCATCCAGGGCCGCCGCGGCACCGCCTTGCAAATCGCACACGTGGCAGGATCGTGACAAGCTCCCGACTCGATCACGAGGTCGATCAGAGCGGCGACATTTGCCGGAAGCCCCTCCCGCATGGCGACAAACTCCTCCGGCTTCAGAGGCGCATTGCTCCCTTAGGCCGGAGCTTTGCGAAAGTTGCACCACCTCTGCGCAAGAGCACGCACGGCCGGCCGCAACTCGGACAGCCCGTTGCGATACTTCCAGGGGCAGTCGATCCCCTCCAGTGGCACGTCGGAGGGGCGCACCCCTCCCACGCTCAAAGGAGTGAAGCCCCCGGAGACCCTCGGCGCTTTCGGGTCCGGTTCGCAGATGCCGTGCAAGGACGCTTCCGTGCCGGAGTCTCGCATCGCGCTCGAGTTGGCAAAGAAGGTCCCATCAAAGGTGATAACCTTGTCCCGTCCAAAAGCGTACGTGGCCAGCTCGGAGCTCGGCCCTTCCGTTCGCTCCGGCCTCAGGGGGTTGCCAGCCCTCCGGGCCTTCGCCTCAGCCGCCTCCACCTCGCCCGTGTAGAGATGCGCGCAATCGACGCGCGAGCACACGTGCTGGATTCGAGACCGGGCGGCGAGGTCGTTGAAGGCCTGCATGGCCGAATCGAACACCCGGTCGTCCAGCCTAGGGACGTTCGGCCCCTCCAAGCACCTCGTAGCCATGTCCTCCGCCTCAAAGTTGAGGCTGTGGGCCGCCCCCAGGGCCGCCGCAAAGTGGTTGCGCAAGAGGAGGCCATG